GTAAATCAATCATTAAAGTTACTGTATAATTTCAGTCAATTATCATATAGTTTCGTGTTTTTGTGACACACCAACGCATTTCTTAAAAAATGCTAACACTGACGTATGCTGTTGCTAAACATACGGCGAGATACCTTCATTGACTTGAATGGCTAATGTTTTTATTGCTCATAATACATTTTAGCAGAAAATGAAGACCGATGTGTGTTTTTATGACTGAATTGTAATGCTGTTTTAAGTTTTTGATATTTAGATATCCGATTTTAAAAATATCCCCATGGCTACAATTACAGTTTATTTTGTTTTACAAAAATAATGTTTAATCCTCTTATTCTCTGGTTACCTTTTGAGAATTTTGCATTGGATGTTTTCCAAAACCTATAAACTCCAGGTTGGAATACATTCTGTCGTGCACTAATACATGGAAGTAGGTTGTTTTCCGCGTCCTCTTGTTTCCTTCAATAAGCTCATGATATTCTGACTTAGTGTTCTTTTAATTACAAAATCAATAGCCATTCAGTAATATTAGATGCATATTGTACTTAGTTGTGTATGCCAAATAAGTGATATGATCAGTATAATACGTCTATTTTGTTTATTTTTATACTATACTGAAGTTCAGAAAATATAAATAATCTCAGAATTTCGTGTTGAATTCATCCTATTTCTTACCTCATTAAAAATTAATTAGAACATCTATACGTGAATAATATTGCTTTCAATTAAATCGCCACTAAGCTTTACTCTAACATACATAGATATTCATATGAAAATATTAAACCATTCAAGGCAATTTATCATAATGAAATAGATCGCATAACTACAAATAATAGTCAAAAGGTACAAATTGATGGTAAGAAAACACATGTACTAGTAGAGATAGGGATAATAAAATAATAAAAGCTCTAGTTCAATGCAGGAAGTAGACCAAACCTGGATAAATAGGCTTTAAAATAATAATCACAAAACAAATTACATAATAAGAAGTGTGTATATAATTAGATATTGAAGAATGTAAACGGTTAGGTGAAATATTACAAATAAATACGGGCTGTGAAAAAATCGTTTAGCAAATCATATCCACCCAAGGCAGGGTCAAAGGTGTCACGAATTTTTTCTGGACACATAATTTGGGGTTATGAGTTTGGATCCCTATAGTTTCCGTTATATGTAGGAGACGGTATTGAACCTCATTGGGAAACGACGAAGGTATACTAAAGATCATTCAAAATGATTCGGTTTTATCTACCATAACCTCAATAGGTATCTTAAATATTTGAAGAAGTGAATTGTTATTAGTTATGATGAGACTTCTAACAAAGCAATCACCTGTTATAAATAATGTATCCGACTGTACTAAATAACAACATTATTCTAGCTACTGTCCTTCAGAGTGAATTGGTTAAAGGCTGAAAAATTCGGATAAAATGCTTTACATATACACAAAAGTCATAAAAATATAAGTTTAGTGCCAGAATAGGGAATTATTACAACTATTCTAGTGTTTTTCATTCATAGTTTTAAACGACTTTCTAACAGCATTTCAGAATTATTTTTTATTTGCTATACCTTTAAATGATTTCTCTTATCACCTATTTGCTACCGTCTCTAGGATAAAGTTGAAACAACACATGCTCGGGAGAATAAAGAATTTAAAGAAAGTCGTTTAGAAGGAGTCAAAATTCTTTCTAATTTTCAAGAAAAACAACGGCGTGATATGCTCAAACAGCATCAACGCCAAAGAGAGGATTTGGAGAATAGAATTCGTGCCCGGAAAGAATCACTGGAAGCTGCGGTGCGTTGTCTAGTTTCTATTTTATACGCGTTCAGTTTTTGCGAAGCACTCTGCTTTCTATATGTTCATTTAATTTTTGTGGTTTATTAATCACTCACGGTGTATGGTCATATGGTTTTGTAATGCTTTGTTTATCTTGTTTCGGAAGAAACTAATGAATAGCCCTACTATTTTTTGATCCATGTAGACTATATATATATATATATATATATATATATATATATATATATATATATATATATATATATATATATATCATCTAGAAGTAATAATTCTGTCAAAAATGATCTTATTTACATCGAATTTACCGGACATTCTTTTGCTATCGTTTTTGTTGTGTGAATATTTCTTTAATCTTAGGTTTTGCTTTTCAGATTATATATAATGTACTGTCAGTGGCCACACTAACTGGTAATAATTTGAAAATATTATACGATTATAAAACAGTGGCTAGATGGTAATGTCTTCGTAGTAGCTCGGTGTCCAAGATGAGGATGACAAAGAAACATGCTACTAAAAACTTTAAAACTGGGAACAAGTATATATTCTGTCTTATTTTTCCAGCTGGTAACATTTTATGATAAAAACAGGACATAAAGTCTGCAAACTAATGATTGCTAAATTGAAATCACCATCTTATTTTTTTAAGATGACTGGGCACTAATTTTATTCAGTATATTCCGGTTATCATCACTGAATCTCTTGAAAATTCTAAATGGTTCTAGTATAGTATGTCATTTTTAAATGTTACAAACTACCCTATCACATAGTTTTTCTTTACTTTAGATGAAAAAAAATGCTGAGTCAACCAAGGAGGAGTCACGAAGAAAGACAAGGCGTCTGATGGAACGCCACGCCGAAGCTCTGCGCGCCTTCGACATTGAAACTGCCAACCTCGGAATCGACAATGCTGCTGTTGTTGGCGCATCTGCAAGAATTTCTGGATCATCAGGAGTCTCTGGTGGATCTTCAAGTAGCAGTACATCGTTCTCTGGCTCCAGTGGACAGCGTCCTTCAGACTGGCGACATAGCCGTGCAGAGTTCCTCCCATCCTAATAAATTCAAGGCAGTTGTGGCTTCGGGTAAGCATTCACGCATACTATTGTTTTTTAAAACAAACTTTGATACTGTTATTAAATTTGATGAAAAACCTGTCCAAACACGTTTTGAGCCTAATAATTGGATAATTATACCACACTGTAAATCGATAATAGACAAATTATAAGAAAATAAGTCGATATGAAATAAACTATTAATTGTCTTTAAGAAAGCATGGAAATTTGTTGCCTAGATGTTAGGTGTATTGGAGTTGTTTGTGGAAAGTTTAAATTCAAATTATGTTAAGTAACTAAAAAATTACGTGTGAATGTGAATTTAACATTAAATTATCGAGACGGTACACTTAGGTCCATCTTTTGTTGAATTGTCCGGTGTCTTGATTTGTACAAGAAACGAACATGCAATTTTGCGAACCTTACCGCATAACTAAAAGTTATCTGTTTGTAACCACTCTCACATATCCTGTATAAATGTTTAACTTCTGAGTGGCACTGAACTCGTTTCGCTTCCATAATCTTATGAATATTGCGCCTCTCTGTCAATCAGTCTTAATCCGTTAAAATAACAAGTACATACAAAAATGATCATTCATGAGTCTAGAGTACGCAAGTGTGCTGTATGAACTTGTTATTTGGAAAGTTACACTGAGCTGTAAATAAAAAACTGTTCGTTGTGTTGTAATCAAAGTTTAAGCTCCTCTTCTTTTATTTTATTCGTATTAACAGATTATTAGGATTTCATATTCCATAGTTAATCCATTTTTAGTACTAAAGTTTGGTTAATACGAATTCTAAAACTTACAACTCATAAAATATGTGGCAGCCATTCACCTTTTTCATCATGACCCTAGTTATATACCACTGCTTTATAAAAAAAGCTTGCATTTCTTATTGTCTCTTATATGTGATATTGAATAGAATTTAAGGATTGATTTTAAACTTCTCAAAAAATCGTATCATTTGCATGATTATGTTAGGGGTGTATATAAATACTTTATGAACTTGTTTACTAAAGACTCGTGAACCCCCTACGTCATAAATTGACGAGTGTTATGTCGATCTGCAAAACTTAGTATGAATCAATATTATATTGTTATGTTAAATGTGATGGTAAACTGATTTATTTAATGATCACTATCTCAGATTTCTTGTCCAACATCCACTGTCGTTTTGGATTCCATATATCTTAGACTTTAAATTACAAAATTATTTTCATTTTCCTTATCTTAGCACCTGTATATTAATTTACAAGAATGCTCGTTCAATCCAATGAAGCTGCCATATCAGTATATGCATTTGACAGTTTCACCATACGTTCTCAGGCTTGATCTGCAAATCAGAAGTTCATACCGTGTATTTTTCTATACAGAGATAGTTGTATAAGCAATCACATCAACTCGTCAACATAACCTTGTATATGTTAACAACCGGTCAACTAACTAGCCTCTCCCGTAATTTCGAAAACAATCACAACCCGTCTTTCCAGTTATTATCGTAATTTATTTCTGCGGTTCTTACAGTATGCGGCTTCTTTTAATGTACAGTTCAGATGTAATCGACAAAACAATTTCAAAAATCACATGCAAAATACATCCAAGCTAGCTACATTTTTTGTATTATTGGCTCCTAATTTTATACGATGGTTTTCAATTTTCATGTAGCACTTAGTACATAAGACAAAATGAAGAAATGATCAACCTCACCAAGTCTCTTTACTGTTAGGATTGGTTATACTTTATTATTAAATGTATTTAAATTTCCAATAATATGTTCAAACAGTTTATGATTTGTCTCCCTCTTCTTACCCTGACAACCCGAGTACTGTACTATGACTATCTCCATAAAAGCTTACTATTAATCACTTTTATTCTTGTAAAATGTTTCGTTGGCTTCAGCATATAATAGAATTTAAAAATCAAAATGATAGCGATACTAAATATATTTATATCATACAATACATGGCAATTTATTTCAGTTGTTTACATGTGTGATGAAGAAAAATAAAGTCGCATGAGAAGTTATGTATGTTGCAATCATACTGATATCTATGGGAGATATCGAACTGTACAAGAGGTGATGTATGATGAATTAACGTAGTTTTTATGTCAAATATGTAAGAAATTTCTAGGATATAGTAAGCCTTTATTTCAGTCTTCGTTAATTGGAATCAGCGGTAGTTGTAGAATTATAGACTTCATAAAAGATGCCGCTGCAAGTGCTGCATAAGGTTGCCACTGTGTACCTTGTCTCCCTTCCATATAGTCAGCTATTCCACGAATAAGAATAAAAGAGTCAAGGCCATTTCCCATAACGGACTCCAAAACCTGAAATTATATATAAAAAACAAGGTTAGTTGGACATCGCTCCAATCATCTGAAAAAACAGCTTAACATGAATACCATATGACTAACTTACAACAAAGAAAATTAAGAATAGTAACAAACTTACTTGATCGTATTCAGCATCATAACATAGTAGGTGGTGTTCTTTAGCAAAGTCACTCATCAATGCATCATTATCTGTAACTGGTCTGCCAGATCCCATACAACCAAGGCGTACGGCTGGTACGCCTGGTGGGTAGAAACGCGCCAGTTCTTCAGGCACATCGGGATGCTTGATATCGAATGTTACACCTTCGTTGATCTGTATAAAACATGATAGTTAAAGTTTAGTATATCAGTTTTTATTAATTAATCTTGGTAAACATTGCATTCAAACCAGAAACAATCTTAGTTTAATAACAGTTCTATGAAAGTAATCCGTGCACGATGCATAGTGGCATCATGTCTCTTTCACGAGAACAATCTATAGGTAGACCACATTATTAAAATACCGAAATGTAAGTGATCAATAACCAACTGAGTGGTCACGCGACACGAGTTAATCGATTAGACTAATAATGATCTTATCTATTAATTTAAACAAGAATGTGAATGGATGTTAATTAAAAGAACTGCGATTTGTAATTGTGATGATTTAACTATTTAATTAATCTGATATCATCACTATATATTATCGCCGTGAATTTGCATAGTCTCGAAGTATTCTTCATAAATCTATGAGATTTAAACAATAGGAACAAAGTGAGCATCAACAGAACATCAAGAATTATTATCCGCTAAAAAATACACTTTTTGGACTTACTTTCAGTTTCAGTTTGTCTGTATCAGGCGACGGCCGAGCAAAATCAATGGGATCATCCTCTCCGCCTAGTACAGTCAAAGCAGACTTTAAAATCTGATCCCATTCACATTTTTCCGGAGCTGCTTCGAAGCGATCGAGAACTTTCTCTACACAGCTCACTAAAGTTGGATCTCGAGCAGCGTACTTTCTTAAGACAAATCTTGGTGTTTTCATATCGACTGCATCTTCCGGAGGTTCAATCAATCGATCACAGTAAATATAGATAGAGTCTCCGACACCATTCGATACAGAATGATTTGTATGATTGTTCATAGCTGAAGAATGCAATCCACTTGGACGTGCCACAGCACTCACTACAATATCACCCAGGCGAGAATGTTTTTCAAATTCATACACGTGAGGTACACTACCCCCAACCCCTACTAGGAACACATGTTGCACCGCTTGGAATGCTCCTAATGAATAAAAACGCATGTGTACTTGATGAAATACATTTTTCAGCAATATCTAATAACTATAAATAGCGATGAATATAACATTTATTTCTACTAAACCACACAGCTGTTTTATGATACGAAAATACCACAAAACACAGCTGGTGAGTTTAAGTAATCATTATGATATAATAGTGGGGTGTAGATATTAAAGAGGTGAAAAACACTGTCAGTAAGAAGATACAATCACATGTAATGATTATCGCTTTCCGTTAATGTACCTTTATTTAAATTACCTGTATTTACGCATATTGAACATTAAGAGAGACAGTTATTACATAGCAAAATCTTTTCATTTGCAAATAAATAATAAAGAACTGATTTGTTTATAGAGTGAAATTATCTGGTCTAGAATAAAAACCGTGTTGATTTTAACAACAAAATATTACGGAGAAATCGATTACATCAAAAGACTGTAAATTTGTGTTAAACGGAGCACATGTGTAGTGTTAACGAATAGTTATTACAAATAATTACGAGTTCATCATTTACTTCTCAATGGAATATAAATAAACTCAAAATGCACGGACTGAATCTTACTAAAAGACGGTTGCTGCAAGTTAACAGTACTGATGTATCAATCCCGTTTCACAACACTTGCATAAGATTCTAGCCTTAATGTACGATCTTATATTCCAATCAATGATAAGAATATTCATAAACTTGATATTATCGTGTTTCTGCATTTGTAACCGTTCCCTATGTTAAAAAGCTGCCAGCGAAGTTCATTAAGCTGAAATGTGATGAAATAGATAATGTTTGCTAGGTGATCAGTTGTTGTGATAGCTGTATGACAACACTGAAAGCACTTGATTTCATTTAAATTTACGAATGATCATCTAAACAGATATTTTAAACGGAGAGGTCTTGGAAAGATAGGAATTATTGCAATACACAAGGAAATGGATAATAACCCGTACATACCGAAAGTCTACAAAAATAGTTTGTAACACCTCAAAAAATACTAAATAAACAACATTAGAAAGTTGTGGCTGCAGAATGAGAGGATAATTTAAGTGAATGACAGCACATACTAGAAAAATGAATGTGAACAAACCAATGAATTACGTTTATTATCGAAATAAACACTTGAAGAAATATAACCTTGTCTCTACGATGTAGAACGTCACTTCATTGGTTATTTGTACGGCTAGAACAGGATCATTGACTTCGATAAAGCGTATAAAACCGTTAAGCGGGTTTACAAACGTTTTATCCATGGAAAAAATGTCTTTGAGGTATTTATCTACTCTAATATAAAGAACAACTATTGTCTCAAAGCTCAGGATACTGCCTTAACATTTAAAAACAAAAAGTGAGCTACAAATCTATTCTTATCAAGTAAAAAGTAAGAATAAACATTTAATCTTGTTAACCAGTAAATATTACTGAGAGAACAAACAAACAATTTATAAACTAACCAAGCAGCCGAGTTGTAATACTCCCAGAGGAAATTTTTGCTTGAAGTTCACGTCCGACCATAGGTAGTTTTGTAGAAATGACTTTATGTGGTCCTATGTTCCCGATAGTGTAAACATGTGATTCACCTAAAATATTTGAAAGGAAAAGATATTGGGATGTATAAATATATATGTAATTACCCTCAGATTTATAACGAACAAATGTTGTCTTCTGTTCCATCATTGCATCTACAGCTAATTTTTCACAAAGTAAATTAGTGATAATTGCAATTGTAGGCTTCTCGGATGTGGATACTTGTTGCATATGATTCGCTCCTTTCATTTCTCGGACAACTAAAAGAAAAAAATCAAGATAAGCTGGATTATTCATCATAGAGATCAAATTGGCAATATGTATTACATCAAGAAGGATGTAAGAAAATCTAAACAAAACTTCTAATAAGTTTTTGATTGACTACATAAGCAGTAAAGTGTCTGCTAAGTGGCTGAAGCATCTAGCTTAATTCACAAGTTCTAAAAGTGTTTCGCCTACGTCAATAGGAACAGATGAATACTATCTTACATTCTCACAAAACAAGTATGATTCGAAACCCGGGAACATATATTTGTATTTAATAAATAAGTTGAATTGCATTTTATAACCATAGATTGAGTTTTTATCGCGAGGGAATGAAGTGAAATTAGAAGCTTTTTTAAAATGATAAAATAAGTCTACAGAAGGATAAGATTAAATGAACAAAAACACTAGAACGTATATTTTTAAAATAAGATTGAAAAATGATATCTACATAACTAGAATCAATTTCATGATATACCACTTAGTCACTGAATGATTTACCATTTTCATGCACACCTGATGGAACTTTAGTCTGGCACCCGAGTTACCATACCAACTAATAAGAAATCAAACGAATAGGAAATATTTCAGCAGTATTTTCTCTCAGAACTAACTCGTAGACACTATAAATAAACATTATTTTTTATTTAGTTGTAAAGCTTTCACAATTAGATAGATTAAGAACAAATGTACACAAATAGTTCATATCTTTGTAGACCAATTACCGCTATCATTATCACAGGTACATCTAGATATACATGTATGACATGGTAATAATTATAATATCCACGAATTAGTCATACGGTAAAATCAATAACTACTTAAATAATAAATAAAACAACAATTAAAATGTGATTGATCTCCATCATTAATTAGTGCATAAACAGAGCACATGATATTTGGTGATTATCGATTTGAAGGCAATAAAATTACAGAAAAGTATTTTTGGTTAGATACACGCAACACAATAATTTATATTTATTTGGCTTCATGTAGTCAAATAACTGCATCAGCGAAAAAGGAAGGTATAATAAAGCATTAATAATTCTATCATTTTATAAAATGCATTATTTGTGAATTAAATTTCACAGTGAACGATGACATAGATAATGGATGTCACAAACTAGATACTAAAAAAATCTCTAAAGAATACGTATAACTATGAAAATGTGTGTATTGATCAGACAAATTTCTCACAAAGAAGTCTAATTATATTCAGTAGTGGTAATGTGTGTAGGATTGATGATAAGATATCGATATGGCAAGGAAATCATGTATTTACTACTTAGATGAGAGCTAATATGATAGAGTTGCACTTTGTGACTACATAGTGAGGAGGTCTGGTACTTTCAGAGAGTACTTGAGACGTAATTATTTGTCTAGAATGTAACTCCACAACAATCTAGGTAAGCCAACACATATATGAAGGTGCAATAGAACAAAGAAAGCTCAAGTTAATGTGATACAGCGACGAAGACTGCGCCTACAAATGAAATATTAGTTGATTTTCGCCACTTACTCTTTCCTCTCTCGAGGATTACAATCGTAACTGGTATCTGAAATATCTACAACTTCTTAATAAATCTGTCATTTTATTGAAAAAAAAAACACTGACCAAATATCTAATAGAAATTTAGAATATAAACATCAACATACAGTCACCCGAAGGTGATATTTTATTGGCTAATTCGCCATTGCATGAAATTTCTAAACATATGAATTATGAAATTATAAGCAGAGATGGATAGTGGCTAGCAGTCGAATTCAATACACGTGTTTCGCGTTATTTGAGACTTGTCAGCTAAATATAACTGGATCCCAGAGCAGATGATTATTCTGGGAAGCGAAACAAGTAACGTTCGCTTCGAACGCCATTGTATTATCCACTTACTACTGAACCCATAGAGCTACTGGTGAGGTTAAATTTAATCGTATTGGTTGTTTGGATTTTTCCACTGATGTTTAGAACTGATAAGCCTTTTTCAGGAATATGTACATTCTGTTCAATGTTCACTCTGGGAATCCGACCCAGAATCCAGCATAAAAAGACTGACTAATTGCAGTCCTAAACACTGATTAGAAGATCCAAACAACCAATATAAATGAATCAAATTATAGATTATTCACAGGAATTTAAAAATGGTTTTCCAAAGCATGAAAAGGTATCATTTTTCATACCACATACTAAAATAACCACTTTTTTGAAATTATTAATCAGATCAGCTGAATATACGCATTCCTGAGGTCAAACTATTTAAATAACCATAGTCGATCACAGGTGTGAATGTACCAAGTTTCATTTTTTTATCAATCATACTTTGAGAAATAAGTTTAAACTGTAAAAAGTATGAACTTGTAGGAAATCGGATACTTATTTCGTATAAAAATGAAATAAGTTAATATGCATTTAGAGCATAATCTTACACAGATTCAATTAGTATGAAAAGTTCGTTTGTACCCAAAACATATTGTCCTAGGTTTATTCTAAACAATAAACTCTATTAACTGCGTTACATTATTTAACGATTATTCATACGAATTTGTGCGGATTTATGTACCATCGCTTAAGAACAAACCTGTGTGAATATATATTTTCCATAACCTTTTATTTTCTTCGTCAGGTTGGATCATTTTATTGAAGAGAGCACACTTCTTCAATGTCTTTTAAGGAACCTGTAACATAATCTCGCTGCTTCAGTTATGTATGAACAATGCAAAGACCGAACCGCATTACTGTCCACTCTACAGCCACAAATCATAAACCTCGATTACAATCACTAATGTTTATGCAAAACTGACAAAGTAAGCCTTAATAAATAGGCAATTAGTAGATAACGAATATCTATAATACCGAGAATCTGTATACTGACCATGATTTTGTAGATGAATTTTTCTTCGGAAACCGAATTGACCAACATGCTTGCCTTCCAGTGGTACCAGTTGTATCAAATCTCGGTCGACTAATTCATTCAATTGGACTTGTAATAAAGCACGATTATCACATTCTAAAATACTAAACAGAAAAAGGTAAACAATAAGTAGTTTGATACTACATACTTAGTTTTAGTTCTCTTTTATGTGGTTATTAAACCAACATCTAAAAAAACAATTACCATAAATTTTCGGTTAACAAATTTTCTTCAGGTAACTGAAAATAAGAGATGAACTTTTTAGCAAAAAGAAAAGTGAATCGATTTTAGTTGACAGAAATCATGTTTCTATACAGGTTACTTGTCTGCTTCAAACAATTAAGTCATCACCAGATCAGAATGACCCCAAACTTACAAAACAAAATGAACAGAGTTCAATTAAAATGTAGATGCTTCAGACATCATTTTCAACTGAAAAAAGCCTAGAAGTTCGCACATTTTTGAGATGAAACTGGCTGAACTATGGTATAATATACTTTTACCACATCACGCTATTTGTAAAGGAACATTTATTTTTTGGAATTTTTTTTAAGTTGACTCAAAAACCTGAATCTCCTAGCCAGTTCTACCTTAAATTCTTCATGAGTGACAAGTATTACTAAGTAACAGGGATATTCAAATAATTTATTTGCCTTGGGCTGACTAGTAACCAATGGTCTTTGGTGCAGGACTATGTTGATCAAATTTGTCAAGCTACATCAGGGAAAGATTATTGAACTTGGCAATGCCTTTCATAAGACAGCTGACTATAATTGGTAGGAAGTCATGAGTTTAGTACCTCGGTAAGAAGCAAAGGGCAGACGACATGGTTGGTTATCCAATGGTCACTTTCGTGGTCAGTCTGAATTCGAAGACTTACAGTTATGTCTTTGACACCGACACTGTATCTCCGATTTGATTAACTCAAAGTTTAGACCTTCACCAATATTTAGAAAATTAAACGATCAGACTAATAAACAAAAGTGCGAAAATCTTCAAGTTATAAGACCTAAATGAGAAGCTTGGGACAATAAAAAATGTACAATGCTAGTTGCACTACTAGTAAGTAGTTACAATCGATAAGCGAATAAATAAAATATTTTCAAACGACTGGATTAGCTGTAAATGTTTGATGGATGGTTACTGAGGAACAATAAGACCAAAAAAGTAATCCGATTGCTAATTCATTTTACTGCAACTCAAAATTCTAGATTAGCCTAAAATGAAGAAACTCAATCAAAAGAATACTAAGCAAAAATAGCATTAGTAGTGCAGGATGACGATAGTAATCAACCAATTTACGAATCTAAGTGAACGTTTATGAAAATGAAATGTGATATACAAAATATACAATTGTTGACAAAGTGCATACTAATAACCGGTGTTTTTCACTTCACCTAACTAATCAGTGTCTATAACAATTACAAATCAATCATCGGGTCTCAAGTAAAATGGTAAGCCTTATAGAAGCCAATCATGATGCTTTTATAAATGAAGAATGTAACTAATTTATCGGATATGTTCTATGGCCATCGTAGATTATTTTCAAATAAAATATTCATAGTAACATAACTGATAGGTAAATATCCATAATATTAGAGATGAAACGTTATATTAATTTGGCGAATTGATGGGCTTACTAAATAATCAAAGTCTCACATGTAACAAAAAATAGGATAAATAAGAACTTTCGTCTAAATTTGAACGAATAGTTTCACAATATTTGGGCGCCGAGTTAATGTTAGACATTAAAGAGAAAAATGTATTTGTAAAATCTCAGCGAATGAATTTTTAAGTAAATCCAACGTTTCGCCTGGCAATCTGGTCCAAGCTTTTTCAAGGAAATTATAATCAAACAACAAAATTATCGATAATTTTGTTGTTTGATTATAATTTCCTTGAAAAAGCTTGGACCAGATTGCCAGGCGAAACGTTGGATTTACTTAAAAATTCATTCGCTGAGATTTTACAAATACATTTTTCTCTTTAAAAAATAGGATACTTAATGAGGGTAAAAGTATCACAATTTAGACTTGATTTTAGAATCAACTACTTGTTTTGCATTCATTGTTACGTCAGAAGTTTAAAATCATGACGATTTGAATGTGGGACTTTCAAATAATTTTTATACTAATCAATCATTGAGCTTCCAACCCAGAAAGATGGCACTAACATAGAATCTGGCACGAATATGTGTTGGCACAAGTTGCCGAACTTGATTCATATGACGAGATGTTAATCACAGGGGATTGAAATAATGTAGTGGTAATAATTATGAATAGGGAGACAAAACCCTGAGAATATGGTCGAAAAAGATAGAATGGAAGGGTAAGTATGAAGAAATACTAGGACACAAGATCGAGAAGATAAGGAGAGAATCCATCTGCACCATTGTGAATGATTTCGAGAAATGTTACACTGTCTCTACAGATTAGTCAGGATTATTATGCAGACTCCGAACAGGAAATTTGAATCCATCTAAATGGCTCAGGCCAGCAGTCTATGATTTCATGGACTGATCCCAGATTCTTTTTTGGCCACCTCTAACATTCATTCAACTCACTTCTAGACTAGTTGACAAAGCTCGTTGAGATTGATGATAGTTGGGTGTATGAAATATATATCCCAACCACTTCAGTCAATTAAAACTCACAAAACCTCATCAAACGATTTGTGGTCTTTGGTTAATCTATGGTGAGAATAATACCTACGGAGCTAGCCCATAAAAAGCTTTCCATAAAAATGCCGCATGTGACCAACTTTAAGCACTCTTCCCTTGGCCTTTGAAGTCACACTATCAGATCGCTAAACCATCACTAGTCCAGCTTCTTTTTCAGGTTTCCTGTGAATAAATATCCTTCCATGATATGGACAACTGTCCTCATACCGATAATAGGATGTTTCCAGCACTCGTGATATTATCTATGATATATTCCTATATAAGCGAGCCGATCAGTCATAAGTGCAGGAATTTTCCTGTAATCTGAGTTTATGTAATGTGTAATACTGGTTCGGTTGCATATTTGTTTTCAATACTGCATGTAATTCCTTCGATTGGACTAATTTTTTTCCAAGTAGTCTCAAGTACGTGAATGGTATATACGTAGAAAGTTCATAGAACACAAAGCTAGAAATTATTTACTATAGACAGACAATATCACTGTTGTTGAATATCCATATTGCAATCAATAAACAATGAATCACAGAATGTTTAAGAAAAATTTAAAGGTTAAGAAATAGGAACATGGAAAAATAGACAATGAACACACAACACTCAATTTTATAAAATCACATGTTAACAAAGAGGAGTGATAGGTAAACTTTATGAACTAATAATGTTTTAATAAACACACAACCACAGAAAGAATAATCTCTTATGTTACATTACACCATATGACATAGTCTACAAAATCTGTGTAAAAGGAAATATATCAATAAGTGAAAAAATAATTTGTTAATTATTTGGTGCATTAACAAAGATGCAAGCGAGATCATGATAAATTAAGTGGCAAAAAATCAATAAAGGATAATATTTACTATTTTTATAAACAAGTCAAAGGACAGTGTACTGAAAAAAGGTAATTATAGGCCTTTATAACCAGTCATTTTTTTAACAGGTTAATCATCGAACGAGAATATAGATCAAAGATTTGAAACTAACAAAAACTGGAAGCATGCATCGGTATCGCTTAATCATAATGGTACGTTACTTAAAACAAACAGTCATCAATAGATATTTTGTGTGTAGTTATTGTGTACTGTAAGGCAGCTTACGAGGTGACTTACACAAAAATGTTTGTTAGTTACTATTTTGTCAATAATAAACCTGGAAACTATAACCAGGTGCAGTTAAGTGGTTCCTACAAATAACTTAATGACCCTAAAGACGGATGATATGAGTCTGTGTGATACAGAGAAAGTGACCTTCCTTTAATTTAACTGATACAAACTATTTAATAAAAATATTTTTAACGCTGATTCTATCGATAAGCACATTAAAAGCCAAAAAAAAACAATGAAAACTAGGTATAAACATCCGGAGACCGAATAATGTGAAAGTAGATAAAATACTCATAACCACCTAGTTTAATAGCATGGAAAAAAAGAGGTATTAGAAAAAACACAAAAATGCAGAGACTATTTGATCAGTCCAACAGGGAGAAAATTGTAGCAAGGATATCCTATTGATTTTGTTTACAATGTCGAAACGTAAGTTGTTCGTAAAATTTAAATCGCTTCACTACTTTCTTTTATTTACTTTCTTGTACTGATGAGTCAGATGATAGTCAAATAATATTAAATAAGAATAGTAAGAATAAATTTTTTAGATGGTGACAATCCCACTTTATCAATTAACAAGATGGTTGCCTAGATTGATTAAAAACGGACCAAGCAATATATATATATATATATATATATATATATATGATACAGCTGCAAACACAGAACTAAAATTATGATTAAATTTAACTGTTAATTGTAGTGTATGTGTTATGTTTTTTGACTGTATAATTTACCTCGGACACTATACTTCACTCGACTCTTTCAAAAAAAAAATTAAAAAAGGAACAATGTATATTTTATCCTGTTAACAGAGTATGCAATGTATAAAAGCAGTTTAGAGAGAAGAATAAAAATTTAAAACACAAGAAGGATTTATTAATATCTATGGGATGTGTAATGAAGTGACAGAAGAGGATAAAACCTGGTAGTAGAACTATCCTTAGTATAAATAACCAAGCTTATGAAAAGAGAAAAAAATTTATTTAAATACACATGTCTGTACAGAATTATAGGACCTGAACAACAATTCAGCGTCATAACGAAATGTAAAAAAATGAATGGCTGCAACGATAACACGAAATTAAATATTCATAAATCTTACAATAAAGAAATAACTAGAAACACTAATAGATAAAATGAATCGAAAGACTAAACACACCCATAAGTGATAGGATTATAGAAAAAACAATTATGGTAGATTTAATGGATAAAACTATACATATCCATCAAATTAACTCTTGTTATGGACTGGTTAATATAAAAGAAATTTAGAAAAAGTTTTAAACATGATAAGCTAACAAAACTTAAATTCATTTAGTGTAGAAAATGTTCGTAAAGCAGTTAATCTGATCAATAAATGAAAAGAAACACCTGAAGATGTAATTTACATACTTCGGTTTACTGAAATTGTCCTACTGAAGTATACAAATTGGTTGAACATATTTTATAGCAAAATAAACAAAGATAAGAACTAGTGTTAAACTATTTATTCAAAAATAGTCTAGGAGTAATATTTCTAACTGTAATGGTAAATATTGACTACACATGTCATTAAATGAGTATGAGTCTCCATAGGGTTATTGGTAATTTCAAACAGATAATCTGCATAATTCCCATCGACAGCTCTCAATCATTTACAACAGAACACTTTGTCTAGGTACTGAGTACCAGACATGTAACTGATTGTTTTAAAATGGTACATAGTAATGACTAAATACGATTTTAGTTATTTAGTTGGCTGAAACTAATATGTATTGAAACAGGAAATGACCGATAAAACAAAACATTCAGTTTTTTTCTTACAAATATACTGTATAATTACCGAAAATAACACAATATATAACGGAAAGAAGACAAAAACACAATTTCTGGAGAATAAATACAACTTAATAGCCATACATAGACCCATGAGGTTTATTTAGAATAGATTTTGTAGACAATTTGTATCTGAGGTACTATTTCAGTATGAATTAAATAACTTACTACTATGTATCCTTTGAATATATGGTATACTTTTGACGTGAACAGATACCAATCAATATCATAATATAAATCCGGGAAAGAAAATGAGAATCTGCAAACACTGGTTAATGAACGAACCATTATACAATTGAGACAAAAAATTTTGTTCAGTACAAAATGAACTAATAGAAAGCAGGTAAACTGAATTTCCGTTATCTTAGACAGAATTCCCTCTACATTCTACTGCTAGGTAACTAAAATGAAGATAATCGTCTTACTAGATAGACTAACCTATCACTGAACCGATAAGTGTGAACTACTAAAATGATTTACTACTACACATTAATCTTGGTTAGAAATGTATAAAACTGTACTTTCGTGAATCAACAAATTTCTCGCATGTGTAAGCCATTACTAGCAAATTTAGTGGAACACAAGAGTACTATGAAGAATATTCATCATTTTTGTAACTCAATACAACTCATTTTGTCGTTATAGTGCTGATTCACTTGTTCACTTAAAAAGCTTGTATCGAAGGAGAAAAACTTACCGAATAAGGTCGTCCATGGATAAAACATTAGGATAAGCTTCTTCTAATCTCATCTGCAACGATTCACGTATAACTTGTTCAGTTGGTTTATTGTCCCTCTCTAAATAAATAACACAGGAAAGATAAACATATTAAAATGTTAATTCTTTCTACAGATAAAAAATGAAGGAGACAAACCATATGACTCTTTGTCCTTTAAATTACCTACATCCTTTAAGGAAAAAATTGAATGGTTGTGGAAAATGTAATCATGAGTAAGTGATGAAATGAATACAGTCAGAATCGAGTCTTATATACACATAAAGATAACGAAAATTCAGAATGGACGAGATAAGATGCATCTAATCAGTGGAAAAATATTATCAATGCAAACCATGCTACATGTAGGCAGCAGAAAGTAAACGGAGTTATAATTTATTCACTTACGATTCCGTAACTTAGACGTCTAGACAAAAAAAAACTATATTCAAAAACAAGGCGAGTACATCATTGTTAGAACTGAAATGAACATAAATCGAGTCTTAAATATCTACTACTCGACAAGAAAAGTCAACAATGACAAATGGAGTAAGTTAAGTTGTATCATTGAAAAACGACTTTGTTTGCATTAAAAAATGCGGCGGTATAACTAAGATGTCATTGAATATCTTCTTGTGCAACCCTCCAACGTGGTGGAAACACAGTAGTGGACTACTTATTACTTTAAAGGAATATAACTACAATTGTCAAGCATCTTTGCTGGAACAACAATAGATTTAAGATACTCAGAGTTATCTTCTCCATGTAATAGTTTAACTTTAACCAATTTATAAGAAATAATTTATGAAACTATTTTGTTGAGGACATTGATTTGGATGAAGTTCATTCAATTCCAAACAGTCACAGATAGACTGATGACTGACAAAATCCAAGAACAAGATCAATGTTCAAACCATAAGAGCTGTAGTAACGAGTCTAAACAAAAAAAAGCTTGAAATATAGTCAAAACATTTAATAAATATATAACTGTGCTAACTAAAATTATGGAAGATGATAAGAATAACTTATTTTTTAACTACCATGTCTTTATAATCAATGAACGGTGGTCCCTAACTATTACGAAATGCAAACACAAAATTTACAGCTTTTCAACATTTACTCAAGACGAACATGATTTCTATTAAATAGTAATATGCACTGGAACATAGAATGAGACTTCGGTGAAAACACCAACCAATAAATCACTAGCAATAGGTTGAAGACAGCAACTGAATGTATGAAATGTTCCAAATAGGAACGATAAACAATAAACAGAATTAATAAACAACTATTTACACATATTTTATAGTCTGTAAATAGCACCTGATGGATAGGACATATAAATGTATAGTTTTTAAGGGAAGATTATCACCATCAAAGGTGCTTTCAAATATTACTTATATAAAATATTCATAAAATGTGTAACAACTGAATTGTAATTCAAGTTGAGCAACGATATCGGTAAAATAAAATTGGAATTTCGATACGATAGGCAGATTAAAATGATGAATGCTTCATGTTTGAAAAGTGAGATCACCAAAAATTAAGTACGAGTTAGAAAGTAGTGAACTTGGATTGAAATCTCAAATAATTACAAGCTTCGGATTATAACATAATGAAAACTCAATGTAATAACACTTACAGTTATTTACCAAAGTAAATCGAAAAAAGTATGCAATTTGGATAACTAATTACATGTTTTATTATCAAAATCACCCGACAAAATGTTACTGGGATAACACTCATACAGACTGCGATTCAATGAATAAACCAAACAATAAATTTTCGGTAGTTTTCTCATCTAGTAGTCGTTGTAAGATGGAAAGCAGTGATGGAATATTGTATATCAGAAAGTACACAAGATCGCTCAATGGCATTGTCATCTGATATTTAAGGATACCCATTTGTGTTACGACAGTTCCATAAATTTCCTGAATATTTGGACGCATCCGAAATTTCGACGTGTTTACGTCAAAGGGATTTACAATATTTCATCAAAAAATAGGAATAAAGAAAATATAAAACATTGGATTTGGGAAGTAAATAGAACTGATTTCAATAGTGTTATATCCCGCAAAATCTTGACATTATCAGAATGTTTATAATGAATAAAGTAATTTGCATTGAATAAGTTCATCAGAAGAAATAACTGTTAACAGACTTGTCTCAGCTAATGATTATAGAAAATGAAACAGAGAAAACAAAACAAGAATCGAAGTGCATAAAATGAATTTTTCACCATGTGTGGATGTAAAATTAAACTATAAAGATGACGAACGTGCGAATTTCATTAAGTTCAAGGCACATACATCAAAGTTGAATGTTGTTAATCGAACGTAAATTATAGGTCTTAATGTTCAAAGGGTTGCCCATGTTTGCAGTTAAGACTAAGATTTAGATTTTTGGATCAGGATTTAGGACTATCATTTAGAGTTAAACTTTACGACGAGGATGAACAGTTAAGTTTTTACACGTAGTTACAACTAGAACTAGGATTTAGCACTTAAGGTTATGATCTATGATTACGTTTTATTGTTAGTTTACTATTTACACTAAATCTTAACCCGAACCATAAACCCTAAACTTCAAAACCTAATCCTAGATTTAGTGAAATTAAATCTTAAGAAACTCATATATTAAGTCTTGACTAGTCAATAAAAGCAAAGAAATAGTGAAAGCAAGTCAAACTTTCAAAATAGTTAGGAAACAAGAAGTATAGCGTAAGCCTTACACTATAATAGTAAAACAGTAAAGAATATATTTTTTTGTAAACGATGTTAAGAACATAAATCTAATAGACAAAACATTTCTTTAAATGCAATATCGTAGTGGACGCCACTCGCAGGATTGTTTGAAAGTAGTGTGTAGTGAAACGTCGAAGTCGCTACAATTATAAGACGGAGTAAAAATTTTCAGTGCATCAACAGCAAGGCGTGCACATGGTGCACATGGGCTCCAGTATCCTGCGGGAACAAATGGCGTATGAACCAACTTTTGGTCACCGGCTTCCATGGGACTGCATCTCCTCACGATGCTCCACTGCCTTGTGGACTAGACCTTTAGGTCAAAGGCTCGGGGTGTGGCCCCCTAAGAAAACCACCTGCCTCGGTCTGGGCACCCGGGCAGTATCCCAGCCCACTCACTAAAACTATGATGAACAATTTGCTTATGGAAAATATTCCTTTCTATCTGATTAACACTGAAATAACTCGTACTATTATTATTACTGTTATTATTATTATTATTATTATTATTATTATTATTATTACTCTACCACGTCATTTATTCACCCTCTCTTATTCCTACTTTATATATGCGTTTCGACCTAGACAGCAGCTCACCTATGGTGAAAATTCAGCTTTATCTAAACGTTCCCGAGTCACTGCCTGGTTGAAAATTGTATGTTACTACCGAACATGAGTACTGAAGCAGTTTTTCTGAAACCGCGTGCACCATTCAAACTGGCTACCTTCAACGTTCGCACACTTATGCAGGTCGGACAACAGATAGGACTGGCTATGTCTTTGGAAAGTCTTAATATTGATGTGTGTTGTCTATCCGAGACCCGTATTCAAGACTCTGGTGAAGTACTACAAGTTCGCTCTCCATCTGTCGCTTCAAAAAGCTTGTTTTATGTGCGTTTATCCGGGGACCCTGTGGCATCTTCGTCTGGTCTTATCAAAGGCCAACAATCGTAGTGTTTCTTGATATCAGGGCTGCCTTCGATTCGTTGGACAGAACTGTTCTCTGGGATTGTCTATTGAAGAAGGGTGTGCCTGAGAAGTTTATTAACATCCTAAAAGCCCTATACACAAACACCTCAGGCAGAGTGAGGGCATACAACCACCTTTCTCAATTGTTCCATTCGAGCAGTGGGGTTAGGCAGGGTTGCCCAATCTCACCATTCCTCTTCAACTTTGCCATCGATGACATTCTGGAAACAGCTCTGACGGATGTAAGTAATGGTGGTGTGGATCTGTTACCTGGAGAAAGACTTCTCGACCTTGAGTATGCGGATGATATTGTCTTACTGTGCGAGAATGCCCAAGCTATGCAATCCGCACTTAATCAGTTGGCAATCAATGTCTGTAGGTATGGTATGTGCTTTGCACCTTCGAATTGCAAAGTACTTCTACAAGACTGGCAGGATTCTAATCCTGTACTCACTCTGGATGGTGAGCAGATTGAAGTAGTCAAGAAGTTCGTGTATCTAGGTAGCTGCATAAGTGCTGGTGGTGGTGTGAGTGATGAGATCAATGCACGTATAGTGAAAGCCAGAGCGGCTTATGCCAATCTGGGCCATCTTTGGCGCCTTCGTGATGTTAGTCTGGCTGTAAAAGGTCGGATCTACAACGCGACGGTGAGAGCAGTTTTGCTCTATGCTTGTGAAACCTGGCCTCTCCGAGCTGAGGATGTTAGACGACTCTCTGTGTTCGATCATCGTTGTCTCCGAAGGATTGCTGGCATCCAGTGGTAACACCATGTTAGTAATGCAGAGGTTCGGCATCAAGTGTTCGGTCACAGAGACGATAATGAAATTGGTGTCACCATCTTGAAACACCGACTTCGGTGGCTTGGACATGTTCTACGAATGTCGTCCCAGAGAATTCCTCGTCGTGCATTATTTGCCGACTCTGGGATTGGTTGGAAAAAGCGGAGAGGTGGTCAGTATATGACATGGTGTCGTGGTATGAAAGAAAGCTGCAATCGGCTAGCTTCTGTTGGTCCTTCACGACTCCCTGGTTGGGGTCCGAGAGACGGTGTAACGCAGTGGCTAGAGACGTTATCAGATATGGCTAAGAATAGAAGCCAGTGGCGATCCTGCTGTAACCTTCTTTTACTTTCTTCATAAAAAGTGGTTGTATCTTCCTTAACTGAAAGATTTCTTCTGATTGTACCTTTCCGTTTCCCCCACCATTGTTCTCTCTCTTTTTTTTTTTTATATAATTCCCCACGTTCATTACTTTTTTTCCTCTTTTCTCATTCTTTTCAAATTATCATTGTTTTGTGTGGCGCATATATATTTGGTGCCCTCCTGTACCAATATTTATGTGTTCAAATAAAATAAATAAATAAATAAGG